AAGTGGATGCTGTGGCCCATAGACATCTACATTTGTCCTCAATTAAGAATCTAAACGCAGATGCGTCGTCACTCCTGAGGACTGAGATGGAATACTTCGTTTCCAGTAAAAAGCGTATCCAGTTCTTTACACTCACCGTACGAAACACAGCAGCATTAAGCTCCTATTTTATGCTGGTATTCGGTCGAGCCGAACCATTTGTGCTACAATCGTAATATAGCTGCAGCGTGGATCTACTCAATAACGTTGGGATCTTCTTTTGCCATTGTGCTAATAAAAGCAGAAGTTCTTCATCACTGTTCGACAGCAACATGGTACATGATTCACTGTGACGGTGCTCTTCCAATCTATATTGAATACAAAATGTGGGCGATTTTCTTGTCACATGGGCCGTTTTTCCGACGGGGACTCGGGACGAGACTTTTGGGCAGCACGCACTGGAACGCATTTGCATGAAGTATTTTATATTTCAGACACGCATTAAATTTTTCGCTATAATAATTTTATCCCTAATATTAAATAAATAAATTTCCATTTTCTATAAAACATCGTAAGGAGAACAGGTATCCTCACTTTCGAGCACGTGGTAAAACAGCACTTAAAAAGCTTTTAGCAGTTTCATTGATGCCTACTGATCCACCAAGATTCTGAATAAAATGTGTGTTTAGGTTTTGATGTAGTTATCGTGAAATATAAAATGTTTAATAATTAATGATCATTTCATTGTATTCACCTGTTGTATTCAAAACTCATCAACAATATTGCTACATTAAATCTGTAAATTAAACAATGGAAATATTTATCAGTCGATGAAATAAGAAAATAAATTTTCAAATAATTTAAAAAAAATTTTCCTTTTTAAAAATATTAAATAATACTAATTAAATCGTTTATGTTGATCTAACCGCGCAGGGCACTTCAAACAATATAATTATTTTATTATAATAACTTAAATGTTACTTAGCAAAATCGATACATTATCTACTACAATACCTACTATTTTACAATTTTCTACATTCTTACATTATAATCAAAATATTTATTTTTAATTAAATGCGTTGTGACTTGCAACTCTAACACTATGAAATAATTGACTAGAACATGAAATAATTCTTTAAAATTATCTATGCATTGTATAAATTCTATTACTTAGTGTAAAATAGTTACAAGTGCTTATATTAAAATTTCTAATTTTTTATCCAAGGTTACATATAATCTTTGTAGATTATTTACATCTTAAAACGTGCTTGTTTTTTTCAATGAATGATAAAATGGATGAAGTATGCGATATGATGAATGATAGAGGAATAGATGTGTTATGTGTAAATGAGACGAAAAGGAAGGGAAAGGATGTCACTACACATGGCATGTATACCGCATACTGGTCTGGTGTAGACGAGATCGAGCGGGCATGCCAGGGAGTAGGTATCATCCTTTCAGAAAGAATGGGCCAATGTGTGAAAGAGTATGAATGTGTAAGCCCAAGACTGCTGTGGATACGAATGAAAGTGGGCTTAAAGAAGTTGTTTGTGTTAGGGGTCTACGCCCCAGACATGTCTAAGCCCACTTATATCCGAGAGCAGTTTTGGGAAATGGTAAGGATGGTGTTAATGGAGTGTAAGGGAAATGAAAATATTATTATGCTAGGAGATTTTAATGGAAAGGTTGGGGTGAGGAGGCTTGGTTATGAAAGGATATTGGGAACGTTTGGTGATGAAAGTATAAATGAGAATGGTGAAAGTCTCCTCACCGTATGTATGGAAAAGAATCTTTTTGTGACGAACACTTGCTTTCGCCACAAGAGGATTCACATGTATACTTGGGAAAGAGGTGACGATAGAAGCATGATAGATTTAATAATTGTGGATGAAAGATTGAGGGGCGCAGTTGTAGATACAAGGGTTTACCGGGGTTCTAACGTAGGAACGGATCATTATTTGGTTCTATGCCGAATTAATGGTCTATTCAGGCGTTGGCGCCATCGGTCATCTGTGTCTACCACTGCGTTACAGCGTATTAGAACAGAAAGGTTACAAGATGAAGGTGAGAAAAAGAAGTTCAAATGTAGACTGAAAAAAAATATAAGTGGTTTGGATGAATTATGTATGAAGGAGTTAGACTTGGAGAATGTATGGCAAAATGTAAAGAAAGGTTTAGTGGATGCAGCTACCGAAGTATGTGGTGTTAGTAAGAGAAAGAATGAAAGGAAAAATAATACGTTATGGTGGGATGATGAGGTACGTATGGAAGTTGAAGCAAAGAAGAGAGCATGGCTAGATTTACTAGCAATATAGGCTGGTAATTCTAGCGGTATGAATGATGATATTGAAAGAAAAAGGCAGTCTTTAGACATCTTAATAAGAGAGTAAAAGAAGTAGTTGAAAGAAAAAAGCAAGAAAGAACGGATAAGAATGATAGAAGAATATCGGATAATTTCCAGGCAAATATTAAAATGTTCTGGAAACTTGTAAGAACTGCCAGGGGACATTCAAAACAGCCTATGATGAATGCTATAAGAGACGAGAATGGCTATATTCTGAATGATGAAGTTTTGAGTTTAAAGAGATGGAAGGAATATTTTGAAAGTGTGTTTATGAGTGAGGAGACAACGTGTGTACTAAGTGAAGTAGAAATTCCGAAAGAAGAGGAAAGAGGTAGCGAGATTAGTGTAGGTGAAATAATGAAAGCAATGAAAAGCATGAAAGCAGGTAAGGCTGCCGGATATGATAGAGTTTCACTCGAAATGCTAAGGGCTGGAGAGGAAGTGGTGGCAGGCCTGCTGCACACCTTGTTTAATTTATGCTGGGAACTGAAGCGGGTACCGGTAGACTGGTGCAATGCCGTGATAGTCCCAGTATATAAGGGAAAAGGGTCGCAGCAGGACTGTAAAAACTACCGTGGCATCAGCCTTCTTAGCATTGTGGGAAAACTGTATGCTAAGGTACTGATTGAAAGGGTCATGAAAGAAACTGATGGAAAAATTTGGGATGTGCAAGCAGGATTTAGAAAGGGAATGGGATGTACAGATCAAGTCTTTTCCATGCGCATGATCGCGGAGAAGTTTTTGGCCAAAAACCAAAAGGTTTTTTGTGCGTTCATGGACTTGGAAAAGGCCTATGACAGAGTGAATAGGGATGTGCTATGGCAAACACTGAACTCATTTGGGTTGAGCGCTGGCTTGATACGGGCATTGGAGTCCCTTTATAGGGACTCTAGTGCTTGTGTTAGGATCAACGGGGTATACTCGGACTGGTTTGACATCCATAAAGGTGTCAGACAGGGCTGTGTAGCTTCCCCGTGGCTGTTCAACCTATTTATGGACAGTTGTTTGCAAAATTTGAAAGTTGAAGAATGCGGATTAAGAATGGGTGAGTTAACCGTCAAATGCCTTTTGTACGCCGATGATCAAGTTATACTTGCGTCGTCGGCGGCCGAGTTGCAAATGATGGTTACATTAATGAACAGATCATTAAAAGAAAGGGGTATGAAAGTGAACGCAAGTAAGACGAAGGTTATGGTTTTTGAAAGAGAAGAAAGTAAAACGATTTGTGAAATAAGAATAGAAGGGGAGTTGATCGAGCAAGTAGATGAGTTTGTATATTTGGGCTGCGTATTTAGCAGGGATGGGAGATATGATAAGGATATAGAACGACGAGTGAATGCGGGAAATAGAGTAAATGGGGCCCTGCACTCTATTGTGAAGAGTCAAAATGTGTCGAAAAAGGCACGTATGGCAATTCACAATGCTGTGTTGGTCCCTACTTTAACATATGGTAGTGAAAGTTGGGTGTGGCAGAAGAAGCACGAGAGTAGAATGAACGCAGTAGAAATGCGGTCGTTAAGGAGTATGTTAGGGCTGAATCTTAATGACAGGGTAAGAAATTGTGTAATAAGAGAAGAGTGTGGTTTGCAAGATGATGTTGTGACCAGGATTAAGAAAGGAATGCTTCGGTGGTTTGGTCATGTGGAAAGAATGAATGAGGAAAGAGTGACAAAGAAAATTTATGTTGCAGAAGTGAATGACAGAGTCGGAAAGGGACGTCCTAGGCGAAAATTTATCGACCAAATTGGCGATTTATTGAAAACGGGCCAAATTAGGAGTACCCTTAACCGACGAGCATGTATGCGGAGGTGTATGGATGTGAAGGAGGCGAGAGAGGTGTGTCAGGATCGTGCCAAATGGAAGTCTGTAGTCTCTGCCTACCCCTCTGGGTGACAGGCGTGAGTGTTTATGTATGTATGTATGTATGTATGTTTTTTTCATCACCGCTATGAAAATAGAGCTATGTTTACTAAAAAAAACTTTAATTTAAGTTTACTAAAACAACCAAAACTATTTTTATTGAGGGTCACTGTATCAATGGAGTATTTAATCGTAAATACGTTAGAGGTTAGAGAATTGTTAACTGACCTGTAAATTCATAAACCATTAAAATCAAACGAAATCGAAACGAAAGGGTGGTGAAGTTATGGCATACGGACGGACATAGACCTTTATATGCAGATTAAAAAAGGATCAAGTAAGTAACAAAAATACTTTTGTACTACTAGCACATAAACAGTAATAAAAAATCTCGTAACGCACTCGACTTGCAACTAACATTGGTTCACGATAGTAGGGAATAGCGGATACGAAACCTCATAGGTTTGCAGTTCGCGCCCTTATCTTTTAAACTGCTATCGCTTATAGTAAATGATTCAAATGAATCAATACTAAAACTTGATAAATTACATAAATGCGGAAAATCTTATACATAGTACATAATTTTTAAGAGTTTTCTTTAATAATTTTGTAATTGTAATTGTTTTTTGTAATTGTTTCTGATTTGATTGAAATGAATAAAATAAGTAAACTCTAAGTAAACCCTAACAATGACAATTTAATTAGATTAAATTGTCCATCTTAATTAAAAAATTTGGCAAGAATAGTAGCTTCTAAAATATAAGTATCAGTGTAGAATTTATGCAATGCAATTTCTAGATGAAGTTATTTAACAATTTCACATAGATATGTTATTTCTATTCATATTTCTCTCGTTTATATTCTTTACAGCACCAAGACTGAGATCATTCGGCACGAGATCATGTAAAACGGTATCACTTCTAAAGATGCTTGTGGCTATTCTATTGGCCAATCGTTCCGAATCACGCAGATCATCGTCTTTAGACGAATGCGATGTTAGATCAATTTCCGCATCACTGTCACTGTCACTCATATCTTTCGCGTCTTGTCTTGGTCTGTAAGCCAAATTCTGCGGTTCATCCATATCTTGGCCTGACGGTGCACAGTGACAATTGCTGGGGTTTTTGGAAGACAAGACTCTTAAATCAGTTGGGAGTATTTCAGAATCAAGTTGTTGAGGCATCAGTAAAGGCGGGAATGGGAATGGCTGTTGCATCATTCTTCCATCATCGTTACCATACGGTATAGGTGGAGGCATGTCATGAACCGGCGGTGGCATGGAATCTGACATACTACCGTTATGATGGTATGTATCCGGCCTTGGCGATTTCATTTCGCCGTTGTTATCCATGGCAGGTGACGGCTCTGGTGAATCTTTATCATTAGGCGATTCGCCTCCTTCTGGCGAAGACTCTGGTGGCTTTGTATGGCCTGCAACACATACATTTATAATTTATTTAGTAACATTTTTTGTGACGTTCCAGCGAAATGTAATATTTAAAACCTATTTTAATAAGTAATTTATAATCTATATTGAATAAAAAAAGTTTGTGTTTCTGTTCCTGTTTCTATTATTGTAAATACAACTACAGTCACTAAAAATTTTGAAAATCTTAATGGACAAATTGACATGTTCCTAAAGATCTAGAAAAAAGTGAAGTGAAATGTATATTTGTATGGGTGTGGATGTTTCCTAAACTAACTACTAAAACTGGGTTTTAGTTCCCTTTCAAATTAGCAGTCCTTGTGTGGTTGGTACAATTTTTTCTACCTATTTTGGCCACCAAGTAGAAATGCGTTTATTTTTGTGGCTTAAATTGAAAAGTCTGTGTGTATCTGTGGCTTTATTTATTGAAATTGGATGACGACGGTTATCGAAAGCTTTCGCAAAATCCAAATTTTGAATATTTTTAGAGTATGTAAATGAAGTTTATAGTTTAATACTGCAATTGAGTATACTTGTAGTGTTTAATATTGTTGTATTGTTAAGTATATTTAAGTTAACAAAATCTTTTATGCAGAGACACTCCGAGCATAGCCTTCCCATAGCTCGCATTAATTTAAGATCCATATCTCATGCTGTTTTTTATTTAGAGTAAAAAAAATCAATAATTAATAAGCTGAATAATAATTACTATTACCGTTTCAATTCGATCAATATTTTTACCATTACTAAAACCACAAATTCAATCGATTATTATTCACACAGAATTTAAACAATGAATGAAGTACGAGACAACAAATGCTCGCGTCTTTTTATTGGTTTAATTTTTTGAATTTCTTCGAAAAAAAAAAAGGTGAGGACTAAATACAATACTAAATAAAAACAAAACAGTTAATACAATTTGGGTTTCGATTATACAGTATGTAACGTAATTAACGCACTTTGATAAAGTAGTTTGTTCAGAATCGTTTACTGAATCGATTCCTATCATTTTTAATATAGGTAATTTTTTATCCCAAAAATAAATAAAACTACGTAAATTACAGTCACACTAAATCTGTACAGTCAAAACAAACTGAAATTGACCGTAACTTAAGGCAATAAGACTTTTAAGAGTGCAGTTTTACTTGTATTATTACTAATTCTGTCCCTCATAAAAATAAAGAAAAATTATCTTTATTTCAAGGAAGTTAAAGTCTTTGCGTTCGTGGATTTGTACTGTGACCACAACATTCTTCCGGAATCAGTATAACTAATTTGATAAATAATCGGTGCATAAAAATGTTTAACTAAAAATTCAGTGTATGTATTATGATTATAACATAATATACTAATTGGGGTGTCTGAGGGTGTGCGTTAATTACGTTACATATTGTATAATTATTATTATATTATTGATTATATAATAATTTTTAAATTATAATTAATGTACAAAAAAGTTTCCGTGTAGTGCCGAGGTAAGGGAAACTATTAATCCACGTCACCACTTCGGTGTGAGGGAAAAGAAGCAGATGGGCCGCAACAGCTCCGTCATCATGTTTATAACAACTCAAAATAATAATAAAAACTAGGGTTCCCAACTAGCCTCCAAGTTTGCAACTATTGCAAATAACGCAATCTATGGGGAAGGCCGTGGACTTTTGCTGGGCTGTAATTAATGAATTAATGATGTGCACAAAATAAACAATGATATTTTTAATCTGTGTAATATAATAATACCTGGCATTCCTAATGGCGGTGTTCCCAAACCGAGGCAACGCATTCTCCACGCGTCTTGAAGTAATTGAAGGCGCGCTTGTTTACGCCACTTTGCTCTCCGATTTTGAAACCACACCTGCGAGAGACACATGATTAGTTTTAAGGATTAGTTTCTATTACTTTTTTATTCAATTATTTTATGCTTTATTCATATACATTTGTTACAGTAATTATAAGCATTTAATGAAAAAACAAAAACCAATTATAAAAATTTTATTCTCATAACGGATTGTGTTTGAATTTTACAGAATAATTTAAATCAAAACCTATTAAATTAATTAAACTCTTTGTTTCACTGTTTTAAAATTTTCAACTAAAATAATGAATAGAAGTAAATAAATGAGTAGAGGTTGTAATTCAATTTTTATAGTGCTTTTATAACACTATTAACATTTTCTACAATCTGTAATGAATGCAAAAAGTGCCAAAGCATTATTTCGCATTCAAAAGTAAACCTTTTTTTTATGGTTTATATTATATTGTAAATTAAGTTTAAATAAATGCGATAAATCAGTGAAAACTATTTCAAGAGTATCACATTCAATGAGTAGAGTTCGCATAATTTAGGGATTTTTCTGTAAAAGAAAGCTTATTCAATATTGCTATATAAGTTATTGAAATTCTTCATTATCACCATTGACCTTAATAGTCCACTGCTGGGAATATACGTCTCTCGCTTTATAAAATAGCGGTGCAAATTGCTTGCTTATGTATATTCTAAAGGTGAAAACGGCGAAAAATTAAAAAATGTTTAGTATAAGAAATATCACTACCCCATATCGTCCCATGGGTGTCGTAAGAGGCGACAGAGGTAAACCGAACCAGAAGATGAGCAGCGGGATATTCTTGACCAAAAAGTTCAAAACTATAAAAACTCGGCTGCCACCAAACGTGTTCAGTATACATGCTATTAAATTGATTATGTTTAATCGAGAATAAGGAAGTTTTTTAATTGCGTATGAGATGTTATAGGTAGTGCAAAAAGGGTAGAAACAAAAAAAAATTAACTCACTCGTTCGGAACTACCCGGGTCCCATTTAACGCTAATGCCATAAGATTGAAGACGTTAATATAACATAATATGGCGTTCGACCAAGGGTAACGAATAAAAATCCACATTCAAACCCAGGCCCCACGGTGTAGTATCTACTAACCACCAGGTGGTACTCTGACCACAAGGCCAAGCGATGGTCGCATAATATGCATTGATGTATTAATTTAAACATAATCTTAAAGTTATTATAAGATTAAACGAAGTATAAAAGCATAGAAGTATTCTGGATATAACAAAGTATTAAAAACCCATTCAAAATAAAGATAACATAGGTACCTAAATAAAGAAGACATAACTAAAAACTTTATAGATGTAAACGAGTTTTAATACAACCAAGTTCAGGAATAAGTGAAGCTATGTATCTATATCGATATTTAGTTGAAATCATTAAGTCTAAATATTCATCATCATCATTATCGACCCGTGATAGGCGCCGATGGACATGAACCTGTCTCATTCTGTCTACGCTTTGGCACCGCGCTACCGAACCATCACCCATGGTAAGTGTGCATTTTCCATGCATGGTAGCCGATCGCAGACCAGACACCTCACACCTTTAGAAGAGGCTTTCCTTTATCCCCTTACCGATCAGGGGTTAGAAGCCCGGTGTTAATATCTATCTATCAGAGGTATCTATCACAGGCTACCAGATTATTTAGTTCTTTCCTTAAGCCATTTATTACTATCAGACACGGGATAAGGTAAATGTTAAATAGATATTCTCATCTATTTAACATTTACCTCATCCCGTGTCTGATATTTAATCTAACCCTGTGGCGTGTCTTTTTAACAGCCCAAAATAATAAAAAAGTGCGGTTGCCTACCTGCCTGTCAAGTGAGGCGTATATGGCAAATATCTACTTTTAGATTGCTACCTTATCCCATATGTTGCCTGTTAGTTAACATATGTCCCCATAGGTTCAGCAGTAGACATATGATATGCTGTAATGAATGAAAATGAATGTATAAATAAGAGATGGTGAAACCGCCATTTATCAAAGGCTAAGATTTTCCATAACGGAGTCTTTTATCATCAGACAGGATGAGGTAAATATTGGATATTCAAAGGCAATAAACATTCATATGGTGCTCCAACTACACCTACTTGAACTCTTGCTTCCGAAAGGCTGATTCGTAGCGCGACTTCCTCTCTCAAAAACACATCAGGGTAGTGAGTTTTTTGGAATAGCGACTCCAATTCACTGAGCTGCTGAGGAGTAAAAGTCGTGCGGTTGCGACGCTGTCGGCGTCGACCGAACATGTACTCGGTTAGCAAATCACCTGGTAAAGGTGAAAGGTATGGACCTGCCATTATTGCCTTATGTTTTGTATAAATTTTATTTTTACTTTTAAACTTTGGTATACACTGTTTTACGTATTTAACACTTCTAAAACTGTCATTATTTCGCAAAACTTTCAACTCGTTAACCAAACTAATAGTTCTATATCGCAAACTTTTCTGTCCTTATAAACTGATTATCAAAATACGGCTCTGTATCCGACAAGATCGTCACTGAACTGTTTGGATCCACAAAATTCCAGTCGTGAAAACCCCCTAGACTCCACCCTCCTGCAATATAATAGATGTTCCTGATTGGCTGTTCTTTCTAGGGGTTGGAAATTTCAGCCAATCACGGCTCGCTTTGTGGGGTAGTATTTAAAGCAGGTGTAGATTGAGTTATGGCGTTTCTGCAAATACAAATTTCGTATAAATGTGGTTAACTTTATATTGAAGCTGTTAATTAGATGTTGAGCGCTTTGATTAAAATGTTGCCAGTCAAATTCGCTTTTTAATAAATTGATATCGTTTTATGTACAGTCCGTTGAAATTTAATAAAAGTTTTTATTAAAATGAAAGTTCATCGTCATTATCATCATAACAGCCCTTCACAGGTTCACTGCTGAACAAAAGCCTTCTCCAAACAGTGCCACAGAACACGGTCCTGAGTAACATGCATCCATCGACTTTCTTCATGTCTTACCGTGTCGTCATCTATTTAGTGAGGAGCCACACTAAATTAGTTTCGTTTAGTTCGCTTACAGGGCGGCCCAAGGCTGCTACTCAAGAACCTTTGTTCCATTTCGGTTGTCAGGCTGAAATGAAGGTTATGACAATATAAATATATTATTAGGTATATGACGAGCGTATGACTTAGTGGTTAGAGTACACGGCTAACACGTTGTGAATCAAGGGTTGAAAACACAGTAGAGCCGTTGGCATAATCAATAATTTATAAAACTTTGCTTTCAGCAAAATCAGAGTTCCCCAAACTTTTTTGTGTCGTAGACCCCTTGCTATATTTTTCCGTGTTGGGTAGACCCTAATTACCTGATAATGATTTCCTGTAAATTTCTAACTGTATTGAAGTTTAGTGTTAAAAACTTAAAGTAAAAACACATGTTAATTTATACATTTATTAATTGAATTTAAATTAAAACTACTCAAAATAAAATTTTGTATCTGTTATTCAAAATATACTTAGCATTAAATAAACAAACAATAAACTATAAATAAAATAACATAAGCAATAAGTCAATATTTTTAGTGACAAGGAAGAACGTGATGCTTTAATAATAAATTATCAACATTTTGCGTCAATTTTGTACGGGTTCTTAAATCTCCTCGGCTAATGATGTCCAGTCTGTTTCTTTCTTTCGTTAGGAGATTGGTAACAGCGCTGAACCCCCTTTCCACTAAGTATGACGATGGAAAGGAAATTAAAAATTTCCTCGCTATATTCCATAATACGGGATAAGTAACGGGTATGTTGTTTTGCTGCCAGAATTGCTGATATCCGTTTTTAAACTGAACCTTAAGTTCTTCGTTTGTACTTAGTTCAGTTAGTTCCTCTTGTATTATGACATTCGTTTCTTCTATGTCACCATATGGATTAATTATCCACGGTGGTATTACCATAGTCAAAATATCCTCAAACCTAGATTCAAAATCTGAATAGACATGAAATGAACGTAAGTTGAAACGTCGCCTTCCTGGCAGCTTGTCTGTGACAAATTGGGGAACTGAGAAAATCGCCCCGTCCAATATTTTGCTTCATTGGTATAACTCTGGCAAGAAACGCTGATAAGATGGACTTTGTTTTAATCAAATTTAAACTGTCGCCTTGTAATTGCAAATTAACCATATAAAATTTTGTAAACAAATCTGTTAAATAGGCGATGTCTGTTTTCCTCTTCATTAAATTTTCTTTTAAAATTTTATCTTTAGTATCCAGAAATTCTAAAATAGTCTCAAAAAGTGCAAAAATCTTGTCAAACATAAGCCTTTCGACAGCCAGCGTACTTCATTGTGAAGGAGTAAGTGATGAAAGTGTTCGTGCATTTTCTTCACACAACTGCGCAAATAACCGCGTATTCAACGCGTTGCTTCGGATTCGGTTTACTGCATCAATGACTAAATGAAGTGATTCATGCAATCTAACACTCAAATTTTTAGCAAATAAATGTTGTCGATGGATGACGCAATGTATTGATAACACTCCTGACACATTTTGTTTTAAATAGCTTATAAATCCACGATAACGTCCAACCATGGCAGGTGCTCCATCTGTAGCTATTGATATTATATTTGATAAAGGAATTGCTTTTTCAATGAAGTAATCCTTCAAAACATGAAATATTGATTCACCTTTAATGTCGGTTATCAAATTTCTTGCGAAGAGCAGTTCTTCGTAGATTTCTTGATTCATAATAAAACGAACATATGCCAATAATAATGCTGCATTATCAGGTAAAGTTGACTCGTCCAGTTGTATAGAGAAATGGGTCGTTTGCAAATAATTACATAAGAAGCTTTCAATATCAGAACTCATTTCATCAATACGTCTTTCAACAGTATTGTTGCTTAAGGAAATTCTTTTAATGATATCAGATGCAGGTTTGTGTAAAACAGTTTTTAAAACCTCTTCAACGGCTGGCAAAATTAACTTCTCTCCGATAGTATGCGGTTTTCCGGATTTTGCTATAAGTAACGAGATATTGTAAGACGCCCGCAAACCATCATCATTTTTTTGTGACGCCAAAGCGAACATTCTCTCCAGTGTAGGTCTCTTCTGAAGTTTATCTTTGAGTGTTTGAAAGTATTTCAAATCTTTCTCTGTTTTATCAGGGTGGCATCTTCTCAGATGATCTTGCAGTTTAGATGGTTTCATAGCGTCATTGCCCAAAACTTTGTTGCATAAAAGGCACATAGGCAATTGTTTGTCCGGCAATGATGGAATGAAGCCAAATTTCAAATAATCGACACTGTCCACATTTCTTTTTAGATTCGGACATGGCATCAGTCATCTGTGGGCAAAATTAAATTACAGAAAATCCAGCAGCTGTATATTAAAAATATTTTTTTTGATTTTTCCGAAAACATTCCATAATTCGAACATCTTCTTGCAACAATTAGCTCGAATTACGGAGATTGAACTGTAATTATAATACCGATTGCTAAAACTTTCAAAAAGAAACTATTGAGGAGTACTCGTGTAATTTTACATGAATGAATATTAAACTATTAATAACTAAAGTCATGATTGGCGTAGTTTATCTATCTTTGCTAACTACGAGTACAAAACTAAATTTAATAAAAAATAATGTACTTACTTTTCTCCAGCACTCTCAAACAAAATAACACTGACTCACTATAATTTGTGTGATACGCTGTTTATATTTTTTAAAATATTTTCTTAGCACTTTCCTTTTCAAGATTCAGGAAACGAATAAACATATTTGTCCCACATTCGTATTTATAGAGTGACGAATTGAACAAGTCAGTGCAAGGTAGCGAAGCTCTGAGACTACGACTTTCAGGTTTTTACAAGTTCAAAATGTATTGCGACCACAAAGCGAATACCAACATCCTACAACTTACACAATTTTATAAACACTTATAATATTTTTTTACTTCATAGGTACTTTTATAAATAATGTAATGTTTTGATATTATAAGATAGTATGATGTAAGTAAATAGGTACTATCAGTGTATGTGTTGAGATCCACTATCGTGGACCCCCATTTTCATTTCATGGACCCCCAAATTTTTTTTCGCTGAAGTAGACCCCTTGCAGGTTGTCATAGACCCCTAGGGGTCGATATAGACCACTTTGGGAATCACTAAGCAAAATAATAAATTGTTGATTCACGGGGTAGATTATGACGTGACTGTCCCTGTATCTCAGAAACTACGTAGAAATCTAATACTTTAATGAGATAAATTAGAACTTTATGGTATTTAGCGTTGTGCACGGTCAGGTCTTTACTTCTCTATCATAACCGTCCACTGTTAGAGGGTCTTTGCATCTACAATGAAGATTTTTTATAGTATTAAGGGTGACAAGGGCGCACACAGCCCACCCACGAGAAGATATGGAGTAGTGGATATTCTTAAACAATAGCATTTTACGCTGGTATTCTGTGAGAGCGTGGTCCTTCCCCGGTCGAGCCGACCCCATTCGTGCTACAACTATATTATAGCCGCAACATGGCTCTACCGTATCAACATGGATCTACTGTATAGATTTCCCTTAATCACTAAACTTGGCAGATGAATTAACGACCGCAGTATCAGACGTTTGCACTTTGAAGCTGATGATTGATAATTTATTTAAATTCCTCTTATGAGTGCGTTTTCAAAACTGTTACATAAATTTCACAGTTAAAAATTCCGATGGTATAAGGTATTAAATTGTCTGAACTTGCACTGTAGTTATTGTCTGATTTGGCATTCTAAATGTACATTAGTTTTATATTTAAGGCGTTAAGTGATTTATTTACCTAGATATTTTTTTTTTCAAAATCAGTGATTCATTTGTTTCTTTGGAGTTTATTATTTCAACAATTTCGCTGTATTTTCTTATAATCATGGACTATCAGTAAATTCGTGTTAATTTCGAATGAGTTCGACGTGAAAACACTGCGTCTGAAATGGCACACTATATCAATATTTAAGGACCTACGAGTATTTAACGAACGGGCCGCTACTGGTTCAATTGCTTTGGTATGAGAAATCTCTACTTAAGTTCTGTGCCTATGGAATTGCCGTTCTGTATGGGAAAATTGAAATATAAAATGCATAAAAAAAGAAGTCACTGGTGACCGTTATTTTAAAATAACTCAGATTGGTGCCTAGCTATTTCTTCTTCACGTCAACGCCCGGCCACATACTGCCTGCACAATAAGCGTTGGCAAAATTAGCAGAGTTAGCGCTTCACACCTTTCCTCTTCTACAATATTCTGCAGACCTTGCCATAACA